ATCTGTACTTGCTCCGTTCTACCCGGTTAACTTTTCAGTATCTGCCAGTCTATATAAGAGTCCAAAGTTCACCCTGTAGACACCTTCGCCAAACCACAGAAGCTCGTGGACATTTGCACAACCCTGGAGTTTCAACCATTGAGCCCGAAATCCTCCCTTCTCAATCTGATACAAATGCAGATTCATTGTTCGATGAATTGCCTAAATGTGACGTAGTATCCGCTACAGCTTTGGTTAGCCAATTTGCTAGACTAAATCAACACAAGAAAGCAATAACTATCTTCTCAAGAATGTTTGAGTTGAATATTAGACCCAATGAGTTCACTTTGGGCACTGTAATTCACTCTTCTGTTGTTCTTAAAGACATTAATTTAGGAAAGCAACTTCATGCCATTTCAATAAAACTTGGCCTTCACTCAAATGTTTACGTGGGTAGTGCACTTTTGGATCTTTATGTAAAGCTAAGCAGCTNNNAACCCTTAAGTTACTGTTAGTCAATTCAAATCATGTGGATTGATTTCACTATCCATCAAGGAATTATGAGCAGGTTCATCATTAAAACATTTTTACAAGTTGATGGTTAAATGACACTCGACGGTGTTAAAATATTATAATCCGTGATCCCGCTCGTCAAGGATATGAGCATAATGACGCGGAAACTACTCGTAAGAACCATATAAACAATAAAAAGTTACCATATAATTTCTGGTATAAATATAAAAAGAAAAGAACAGAGGAATCCTCTTAAACACCTGATAACGAATAAAACTTAAACTAAAGCAAAGCTCACATTCATTTCATTGGATCTGCAAGCTTAGGATTCTTGACCCCTCCGCCTCTAAGGGTTTAGGAACACAGCTAAGGTACTCAGAGAATTTCGAGAAAGAAAAACTGCGCATAAAGTTGATTTCTCTTATACGGAACACAACATGTCTCCAAAACACAAAATTCAAAATGAAAAATAGAAGGCACTTCCATTCAAGTGTATCTAAAAACTCAAATCCAAGATTTTAAATTCTCGTAAAATTCTAAACAGGTAACTAGTTTAGATGATTCCAATTTTGTTGGCAACGTCCAATGCATCATAGTCAGGAGTCAACCTCACGTATGCTTTCTTAGTCCCATCAGGCCTGAAAAGGGAACAGAAGGAAGCAGCTTAGCAAGGAATCAACATGGAACACCAGAAACAGTTGAAAGAAACATAATGTCCTTGTGCAGTCTGCCATCAATTGACATGAGGCCACCCAATTTTTATATGAAATTATACTTGCATACACCATCGCAGTTTATCTTTTTAGGCCTGCTATGAAGAAGAGAAGCAGAACACGGAACTTACCTAATCAAGGTATTGACTTTCTTTGTCTGGATATCATACATCTTCTTCACGGCATCCTTAATCTTCTTTTTATCAGCCTTGATGTCCACGATGAAAACAAGAGTGTTGTTGTCCTCAATCTTCTTCATCGCAGACTCAGTGGTGAGGGGATACTTTAGAATCCCGTACTGATCAAGTTTGTTCCTTCCAGGTGCACTGATACGAGGGTACTTGGGGTTTCTATCTTTCTTCAAAGTCTTGGGTCGGTGGAATGTAACTTTTGTCCTTATCTTTTGTGACTTCTTCTTGAAGGTTGATCCTGACTTGACGGCCTTGGCAACCTTAGCTGCCTGTGCCTTGGGGTCAGATTTTTTGGACGGATCAGCTGCAAGTGCAGTTTGAAATTCGAGTTAGTAACAGCTTCAACTAGCATGAAATATGCCGCTTTAATATCATAAGTTGATTTGTAAAGCTAGAAACAAAATCAGCATCCACTTTCAAAGATACTAACAATTTAATTTACCACAGTAACTTATTTAATAACGTATACAATTATCCACACTCCCTCTCTAATGCTCAATTCTTTATCCTAGACTAACACCTACCTCCTGCATTGTCTTTAGGTAGCAGGATGGCTAGAAGATCTTCCAAATTAGAATACGTGAACGCTATATATAATTGATTAGAATATTTTAATGCTTTATAAATGACTGCATTATGCAGGACAAAAAATAATAATTATGTCCAATAAAAAGGAACGACTCAAAATTGCAAAACTATCTATATCGCAATTGCTCTCCCATTTATCAAGACTCTGAAGCGTATTGATGCTCGCACATAAACAGTAAAGGCACTTACTAGATTAGTTTCAGGAAATTCCTGAAATGCCAAAATTATATCAACGCCCTACTTCCGCCTATTAACCTGCCCCCAGTTAATCAAGCTTATTGCAACTACTAATCCTCCAGTAGTTTCTAAAACTAATGACTCATGACTGGTATTTTAATGATTTCAATAAAATGGAGGAGCAAAACAAGATGAAATAAGACTACTCAACAAAATAACTGAACTCCACTTTTCACCCCCACACCAAAAACAATAAAAACAGTAGAGGTTCAAACAAACTTCAACCGAGCATCATGTTATTACATTACTATTAACCTCACAACATTGAATCTACTAACAACTACTCCGTAACAAACGAGTAACAAGTTGGGTTCAGGTATATAAATCCTCATTACATTCATATCCTTACCGGAAATAATAACAAAAATACTGAAATCTTCTTCCAAAAGCTTGTCAACGCCAATAATAACACAAAGAATAGCACAAATTATAGTAAAGTCCAATAATTAGTTATATTCTCACACACAAAAAGGCAACAAGTATTCACATTTCCAACAACATAACAAGCATATCATTTACATGATTTCTAAAATAAACTCAAATTACAGCCCCGATAAAATAAATCAAATGGAAAAAAATAGTGTCAGAAGTGTACCTTTAGCTGGAGCCATTTGGTTACGTACAGTCTGAAACCCTACGAGAAATCAACCAGCTTACCTACAAATAGATAAATTAAAAACGATTGTACGATTTAGGGTTAGAATGAAGATAGAAACTAGGGTTTGATTTAGGACTACAGAGGAGTGAGTACCTGAGAGAAGCTGCTCTGCCAATTAGGGTTTTGCAAAGAGAAGCAGCATCCTGCATTTATAGTAGGGCTCAGCTATCGAAAATGTTGAAGCCCAATTTCAACAAATATTCGTGACCCATGTCTCGTGGTTTTAACCATACTATAGTGGTAGGAGAAGCCCAAATAGAACCATACTCGAGGCCCAATTTTTACAAAGTTGTTGAAGTTTAACCACATGGGAACAAACTTTAGACTTGTTGTTCTTGTTCCTCTTTTTCTTGCAAAGACATGTGAAACTCAATTAAAAAATAATATTACTGCAAGTCAGTATGTAGAAACGCTGCAAACTTAAAAGCCAGATTGATCACGCCTAATTATGCCCAACACAGCTATTGGACTCACACAAATTCACGTATTCAATCTTCAGAGATATTTAAGTAATAAATTGGATGTTTACTAACTAAATAATACGTAACGAACAGGGGCGGATTTACATGGACCCAAGCGGTGTCACGGGACACCGCTTCGTCGAAATTATATATATATATATATATATATATATATATATATATATATATATATATATATATATATATATATATATATATAAAATAAGTAAAACAAAAATACAAGGTAAAAATAATAAAAGCGACACCACTTGCAACAAAGCTACTTAGTAGCCTGATGGTTATTATCTGCCGAAATTCTGTGAGAGGTTAGTGGTTCGAATCCCCTTGGCTTCAGCAAAATTCCTTTTGACTCTTCGACTTTTTCAATTAATTTAAAACCCTATGTTGATGCTAAAATCATGGAATTTTTCAACGTGGGCTGCTATTGACCCAATACTTATTGCACAAGAAATCAGTAACTAACCCTTATTTTAAAATAAAAAGAATTTGACTTGTCCCTTTTCAAACTCCAAAGAAGCAGTGGAAGTAAAGTCCTCCAGGCTCCAGGTTAGTATTAAATCTCTCCCTCTCTGCCGATGATTATTTTTTGTTAGGTGATTTTTCTTTTTCCTTTTTATTTGTTTATGAACAAAATTATGAATATGTTATGAATCTGTGTTAATTTTGAATTTATGATTAAGGGTGTGTCTACTGATTTTGGAGGTTAATGAAATTGTGGGTTATTGCCTTATTGAAGACGAACAATTTTATAGTTACAATGAACTTATTTAGGGTTTATCTAAAGATTAATGTGAGTACTTAAATTTTTTATTCAGATTAAATTGCAATGAAGAGATACTTTCCTACAACTCCCAAAATTTCAAAATCAAGTTCAACATCTCAAGATTTATCTAACTTGGAAGAAAGAGCTAGTGAGTTAGAACAAGATCAACAAAGCGAAAGAGTTAATTTAAGCTCTTTGGAGGAGGTTGATCCTGGGGAAAGATTAGCAATTCGAAAATATCACCCAAATGACCATGATGCAATAAGAAGAAATCATATTCAAAGAGGTCCTTTCCAACCTCGAGAGCACAAATTTCCTCAAAGAAATTGTTATGGTAAGTTGCGTCGCTTTAATCCTCAATGGTTTGATGAGTATGATTGGTTGGAATATAGCATAACAAAAGATGCAGCTTTTTGCTTATATTGTTATTTGTTTCAAGATGATTGCATCAATCAAGGGGGAGGAGATGTATTTTCAACTGTAGGATTTACAAGTTGGAATAAGAAGGAAAGATTTGATATGCATATTGGTAGACCAAATAGTATTCATAATCAGTCAAGAAAGAAAGGTGATGATTTGATGAGACAAAAACAATCTATTCAAAGTGTACTCGCGAAACAATCTGATCAATAAAAGTTAGAATACAGGATTCATTTAGAGGCTGCAATTGATGTGATAAGATATCTTTTGCACCAAGGATTATCATTTCGGGGGCATCATGAAGATGAATCATCTTTTAATAGAGGTGACTGTATTGAACTTCTTAGATGGTATATTAAAAGATGTGATTATGTTGCTGAAGCATTTAAAAGAGCTCCAAAGAATAATCAATTGACTTCTCCATACATTCAAAAGGATATTATTGTTGCATGTAAGATGGAAACAATTAAGTGTATCATTGAGGATTTAAATAGTGATCACTTTTCCATATTAGTTGATGAATCTCGTGATGTATCATGTAAGGAGCAAATGGCTATTGTTTTGCGGTATGTTGATAGAAGGGGAAGTGTGATGGAGCAATTTATTGGTATTGTTTATGTTCGTGAAACTACTGCTTTGTCTCTAAAGAATGAAATTGTTGGTTTACTTTCTCAACACTCTTTAAGTCCATCTTCCATACGTGGACAATGTTATGATGGAGCAAGCAATATGCAGGGTGACTTAAATGGGCTTAAAATCTTAATGCAAAAATAAAGTAGAGGTGCTCATTCTATTCATTGTTTTGCTCATCAACTGCAACTAACTCTTGTTGCAGTTTCTAGAAAATGTGATGAAGTGCAAGAACTTTTATTAGTTGTTTCTGATATATTAAATATGGTAGGATTTTCTTTCAAGCGTAGAGATGAACTTCGTGAATCCCAAGCCGAAGAAATTGAAGAAGCATTACGTAAAGGTGAGCTTGAAACTGGAAGGGGTTTAAATCAAGAATTAGGTCTTGCTAGCGCTGGTGATACTCGATGGGGATCTCACTACAAATCCTTTAATAATTTTATTCTTATGTTTGGCCCTATCACTGATGTACTTGATGCTATTGTTGTTAATGCACATTTTGAAGAAAAGTGTAAGGCAAAGGGATACCTTAAAGCATGTTTAACATTTGAGATTGTCTTCATGTTGCATTTTATGCGTACTGTTTTAGCAATTACAAATAAGCTTAATGTTGTCTTTCAAAAGAAGGAGCAAGATATTGCAAATGCTTTGATACTTGTTAGAGTGACAAAGGATCGGTTGCAACAACTGAGAGAGGACGGTTGGGCTCCGCTTATTGATGAAGTATCTAAGTTTTGTATTAAATATGACATATTGATACCTAACTTTGATGAGCCTTATATGATCCTTGGAAGATCACGTCGTAGAGTTGCAGAGTACTCTATTTTACATCACTATCGTGTTATAGTGTTTCGTAAAACTATTGATTGGCAATTTCAAGAACTCAACAGTCGCTTTGATGAGGTGACAACTGAATTGCTTCTTTGTGTTTCTTGCTTGAACCCGGTTAACTCTTTTTTAAGTTTTGACATTGAAAAGATGTTGAGATTGGCTGAGATATATCCTGATGATTTTGATAAATATTCTATAGTTGACCTTCATTTTCAGCTTGAGAATTACATTGTTGATGTTCGGGATCATGACAAAAGGTTTTCTGATCTTAAGGGACTTGGTGATCTTTCCAAGAAATTAGTAGAAACAAAGAAGCATGGGACTTATCCTCTTGTGTTTCGGCTAGTGAAATTTGCTTTACTTTTGCCTGTCGCTACGGCTACGGTTGAAAGAGCTTTCTCAGCAATGAAGTTGATAAAGACCGACTTACGAAATCGAAATGGATGACGAGCTTTTGAGTGGTTGTTTGGTGCCTTATATAGAAAAATATGTATTTTGTAATGTTTCTAATGAGGCTATTATGATTACATTTCAAAACATGAAAACTCGTCGAGGAGAATTGTAGTGATGTACTTGAATTGTGTTTTATTAATATTATTTAAGTTGTCTTTTTATAAGATGATATATATTGTAAATTATTTACTCGTTCGTTTACTCTTTAAATAGTGACACCGCTTACGAAAAATCCTGCGTACGCCACTGGTAATGAAAATGCAATAACTAATAACTAACTACGAACGGTTTGTAGACAAGAATTGGAATGATCTAGGATTATGATTTTCCCTATTATCGGAATCCTTTACGCTATGTTTTTCTATAAATTTGCCTAAGTTTTCTCCACCGATCATGAGCACTCTGGCTGTCGTTACTCTCTCCTGAGTAATTACAACAATATACTAGATATATTCTCCCGAATTACGCTAGCTGGCTTAAGTACAGCTCACTCATATCGTACCAAGGTTTCGTTATCCCTAATCCCACCTTTAAACCCTTCGTATTGATCCCTCATATACGTTAGGAGTGATGTTGTTCAACAACTACCTAAATATGCACTCTCTCCCGAGTATACACACTAAATAGGCACAATCGATTGAGGGCCCTTCAATCAACATCAATCATAATATAGTTGAACAAATAGAGAAAATACTACGGCAAATCTATATTAACATAACAAGAAAATCATCCTCCAATAGGTTCCATCAAAATCCTAGATTAGGAGATTAGCTATGAATAATTGTTTTCACAATCATAACAATAGAATTCATCACCAATGATATAAACGAGAGGAAGAAAGATAAAAACTCGTTGTCGAATCTTCCGTCTTGCTTCTTGCCTTCAAAAATCTTCTAAAAACCAAGATACCCTCTTGTTGGGCGAGCTAGGCTTCATATATGGCAAGGAGAGTCGCCCTCTGGAATTACAAATTTAGCCCTGAAATAATTTTCCTTTGAGAGACGTGCGCGGCTGCGCACCTGGGAGGGTGACCGCGCACTTTGTGAAATTTTTGCCTGACTTGCACGGCCCATTTCTCGGCCAGTGCGCGGCCGCGCACCTAGGCCTTTTCCTGCACTCTTCTTCGTTCTTCCTTTTAAATGTGCTAACCTCTTTTGATCCCTTAATGACCTCCCGATTTACTTATAAGCTTTTACTTGGTCTTCAACTCTCCATATTGGCTCAAAACGCTTCTTTACCTCATTGTCGCCCGAAATTTCTCCTGCAAAGCATAAAACACTCAATCAGAGCAATTTACTCCTATTTAACGCTCAAACATCAATAAAGTGCAGCCAATTTAGAGTGCAAACAGTAGCCAAAACACATATTTTTAACCTACTATCAATACCTCACATTTAAACCTTTGCTCGTCCTCGAGCAATCAAACCACACCTTACATAGACACTACCTCACTAAGAGACTTTCCTAACTCATCTCGCCAAGAATATTTCAAGTAGTTTAAGTACAGTAGTGTAACATCTTCACCTCAAGAGTTGACTCACAAGCACCACGCATTATTCACAACTTGCTCACTTACTCTACACAGAGGTCCAGAATCACCTTTCCTTCATGAATCAAGTGCCCTCACCCAACAAAAGAGAGTAGTTCCACACACAATACAATTTAAGAAAAATTAGGAACTCAGGATAGAAATTATTTTGCTCACTCTCAAAAACGACATTCATGTGCCACAAAAGATGCACCATAGACTTGCGCGTGGTGTACTACTCTACTAATTGAGTTCATTCAGTCAAGGATCAAGTAGGACTTTTAACTGGTTGTAATGTAAGATGCGAGACGGGTAGGATACATTTAGATATAAGAGTGACTACACCTCCCTAAGCACCTTAATACATACACTTTAGCAGTTGGAACCCCACACTTATGTCAAACCATACTCCACCATCAAATCAATATACATTAACTCCCAATTATTTAAGCACCTTTTCATCAAAAGTCCCCACTTATCAAGGAATAATTTTTTTTTATTTTTTTTTCCAATTCAAGTGGCTCTTACTTCTTCTTTTTTTCTTTTCAAAACAGTGCACCTTTCTCCTTATTTCGTTAGTTCCACTCAAAAGCCAAACCAACCACCCCACACTTTAACCTTTATAAAATTCATAACAATTCAGTGCTCATGAGAGGTTAGAAGGTTCAAATAGATGGTTAATTTAAATAAATGGGTAAGGCTTGTAATGTGGTTTCCAAAGAAACAGGATACATGCTCAAAAGGGTTAGCTACGATACATAACAATTAGGTGGGTAAAATATACATATCTGTCTCAACAAAGAAACGCCTATATCACTTCCCAGACTGAAAAAAACTAGTATTTTGCTTTGCAAACACACGGGGGAAGTTCTATACATCGAATGCAATGCACAAAATACAATAAAACTCGCACGCACATGGCACATGGCTCACTCAAAATTGGATCATCAACAACACTCTAGTCAAAACGCTTAAGCCAAGTTAAGAACATACAATTTAAGGCACTTATATAAGAGTTAACAACTGAGCCTAAGCGTCACACTAAAGCACTCGCTATTCTCAAGGCATAACAAAGTTAAGAGACCTTGTTTTCGTTTCAGCTCATAGCCCAAGGGTTCCTACTTCTAATAAAAAAAATAAAACTAACTATACCCGGTTCAAACGAAACCCTTGGAAAAGAATCGCGGCACAAAGAAAAACCAAGGGGGAATTACTACACTACCTACAAAGAATTATTTTCCGACTTTAATCCTTCAAGAAACCCGTCGAATGATATCCATCGTCGGGAAAAGTTGAAACTCTTGATTTTTTTTAAATACCGCTCAACTAACCAAAGAAACTAACAGTAATCTACCTTATTGTATATATACAACATAAATACAACATATCCCCCACCACATACTTAAAATGGTGGCATGTCCCCATGGCACACAAAGAAAAATGTAAGGTAAAGAAAACTTCCCTGGTAGAGGCAGTCCTGGTCGAAGACAGTGCCGGGATCGAGATGGCAGGCTCTGCCATGTGCACGCAGCCAAGCCATGATCTTCCTCTCAGATTTGGCACTTTGGGTAGCAAGGGCATCCACTCGAGTGCCCAAGTCCGTGACAGAAGTACGCATCCCTGCCATTTCCTGTTCTAAGGTCGTTATTTGCGTGTCCCATCTGACCACTGAGGTACCCTCAACAAGCTACTAGTGCGGAGATGAAGCAGCCACAACCTCAGCTTGTCCTTCAGTACCCTCGCTAGGAGCATCAGACTCATCGCTACTTGACTCAACAGGTGCAACAGGATCCTTCCCAATTACTGCTTTATCAGCCCGAAACTTCTGTTCCTTTTTTACTTTCCCACCAAGACCCTGTTTTCTGGTACATGTGCCGCACGGCACAATCTAGTGATTAAGGGAGGAAAGAAGAAACCATACCTTTGCACCGGATAATGAATGAACATTTCTTTATGAATAACATTAGCCACATCAAAATCGTAGCCATTGATGAAACACCAAATCAGTGCAGCGTGGGGACCATTCACCTCAGTGGTATTGGAAGAAGGCAACAAGCGGCTATTGGTGACGTAGAGCCAACACTTCCCTTCAAAGGTGAACGAAGCCGAATGAAACTTCTTCCCTGGCGTAATCCACACTACTTCCCTGTTAGGCACACATATTATCCCAAAGAACAAATTCCACGAGGTTGATGGTCAGCCATACGTGTCATAGTAGTCCTCCGCATCAGGATCTTCCCCAAACATTGGCAACCTGTAAGCTCTCCGAATGGCCTTTATGGATGCGTCCTCCTTTTTCTTTCGCACCGTGCAGACATGGTTCACATGTTCCGGGCAGTTCGCATAAAACTCTCTCACAATCATCAAATTAGCTTCGTCCGGTTCTTCAAAGAAGATATCCAGCCTGCACCGGACCAATTCACGATATATTGGGACAGTCATTTTGGAGGGACCCCAGATCAATTCCCCTCTCCGGTATGGGTTTCTTGGATGTCTTTTGACCAAAACGTTCCTGAGCCACGCGAGATACGAACTTGGTACTATCATACTGGCGAACATTAGCGGGGGCTCGTGGCCTGGATGATCCAGCTTGATCACTAGAGGATGCATTTGTGGTTTTTCGTTTCTTGGATGACGTCATACTACCTGGAAACTAATATGACCATTAGCGAAAAACAAGATATGCGAACCAAGGGTGGTTACTCAGACTTCACCAGCACACTTGGTCACACCATTACATGCGCAAACTCATTGTGGCATTTAAACAAACACCTACAGTGCACAATTCACCCGAACTCCCAAACAACAATTTGATAACCCCAATTCAACCACAGATATACCAATGTCAACCTAACCCATCATAAGGAAATTCTACTATTGCCCCGACAAACCAACCCGTGTAACTAGAATACAATACAAGAGGAAATCCACTACAATACAAGAGGAATCTACTACACTATACAAGAATTAAAAAAAAAAAACTAAGCAATGGCATACAAAACAAAACTTAAACCACATCACTTACCTAAAGGAATTGTGAGGGTGTAGGTTGGGGAGAAGAAAGCAGCAGTCAGGAGAAGAAATTAAAGGGTGGGGGGTTGAATTTGTAGGGGAGAAGGGAGGGGTTTGTGAATTTAGCTTTAAGAGAATGGGAGAATTCGGGGTTTCTAGGGT